TAAGTGTCATGTAAACGCAATTTGTTATTGCGGTCATATGACTTTACTAGCATTAATTCACGTTATGGAGGGTGTGCGGATACTTTTGTCCACCCTCTATAGTTGTGATCTTTAAATTAATATTTTTATAATTTTTATATAGGTAATAACTTGAAATCAAAATGCTATGAGAATTAGCTATAAGAAAGAAAGTCATTAATAGAGATATAATAAGACAGAAGAAAAATTTTATGATTTATTTTATTAAAAAACGTAGTAAATAAGCTAATAGTAAAATATTACAGAATGAGAAATTTAAGAATTTAAAACTATATTTTATATATATTATTTTTATTTTAGATATTATTCTAAGATGATTATTAACTAATATGTATCATACTAAACATCATATAATTTATAAATATGAAAAAAAAATAAAGTGTTTTTCTTAATATTTGTATATTATATACTATAAAAAAAAGTGTTTTATATAATTCTCTAAATTTATGATCTGAAATTATTAAACTTTTGAAATATATATATATAAGTTTTATGTTATCGTCATAGTATTGATTCCTTAAATTTCTAAAATAAATCACTGACAATCAATTTTAAAATTTTATTTTTTTAGCATCAGAAAAAGTTGATCATAAATTTTTTGGAAGCTAAATTAAAATATAGTGTAAATAATTTTATTTATAATTTTTTTTGTTTATAGTTAAGTAAAATCTTTTTAATAAATACTAATAAATTAATTTTTTGGTATACTGTATATTCGTTAATTATTAATAAAAAATAAATTGATATTGAAATGAAAATTATTTTTTTAATAAATTAAAAACTAGACATAATGCTATATAATAAAGAGTATTACCTCAATGAATAAATAATCCATATACTATAATAATAAATTTATATTTGTCACATGACTAGATATTCATACAACTTATATTAAAGTTGAAAAAAAGGAAATAAAAGGATAAAAACTGAATTGTCTATTTTATTAGTTTAAAGAATTACTGCTTTCATTATAACATTAATTTGGTTTAAATATATTTTTAAAAAAGTAAAAAAAAAAAAAAAAAAATCCAATAAAAATTACATATATAATAAAATAATTTAAAAAAGGCTCAAAATTTAAATAATTACAATTATGAATATTATTATTATAAGATAATGCATGAGATTTTTTAGCCAGTTATCCTCTTCTCAAAATGAATTTACACATTCTGTGAAAAAATTATCGCTTGTAAAAAATATGATATTCTATAATATAGATTATATACTGATTATGATGATCTGAATAAAAATACCCATGTTAAACCTAGGTTAGTTATTAACTTTATGAAGTTTAGATAGTAGTGACTTATTAATTCTATATATCTAATTTCTCCAAAGCATGAGAGTAAGAAATAACACCCTTATTTATAACTTCTAAAGCATAATATCAGCAGATATTCAATATTACTCATAACATTTTTTTTATATTGTTTATAATAATTCCATTTATTATTATTATTACAAAAAAAATTATCTAAAAAGAAATTTTTGTTTAAATTTTTTTTTAAAATAGCAAAGTTTTAACAGGTAACAAATATTTTAATAAGTGGCAAATATTTAAACAGATAGCAAAATAAATATCAAAATTCTTAATATTTTTTAATTACTCTTTCAAAATATAATTCCTAATATTTCTAAATAAAATAGGCAGTATAATTTAATTTATTATTTACCATAATTATGTAAAAGTACTAATTTATTTTCAAGAACTATCATAAATGACTGGATACAGTATTTAATCCACTCATTTGAAAAAAAAAAAGTGAAAATAAATAACAAAATATAACAAATAAAAATCTCATATAGTAATAATAGCTTGATTAACTAGTTTAAAGTAAAATTGACTGAATGATTCCTTTTGATAATAAGTTTAAATTTATTATATGATTTGTGGTATTTCATAAATGGGTTATCAAAAAATACAAAATTTTAATTTTCTAATTGACTAAACTGATATAATACCTATTTATTAGATATTTTTTATCATCACAAAATATACAAAATTTTCTTTGAAATGATTAAGGTAGTGTAATTTTTTATTTTTCAGATTTAATATGTATTTTTTATTGCAAAATGGAATTCAGAAAAAAAAATTTAATTACTATATGATGGAAAATCATGAATTAATCATTAATTTATATTTATATTATATTAAAAGTAAAATTTTGTCTTTCAAATATAAAAAAAAAGAAATTTGAATAATTTATCCAAAAATTTATTATTATTTGTAGAAGAATTTATTTTAAGTAATTGTTTTATATTTGAATATGAAAGAATTGAAATTCTATTGCAATGCTTTTTTTTACTTGAAAAAAAGGTTAGTTAATTAGCTTACATCTATGCCATTTAATATTATATCTCATTTTATCAACTTTTTTTACATATAGATTAATTAAGTCTTTAAAACAAACCAAAAATTTGGATTAAAAAAAACCCCAAATCTTTGATGTAATTGAGCTTGTTAAACTATTCCTATAACAGAATTAGGATTTTTAGGTAAAGCTATCTGATAAATGCTACAAGTTATCCTTTTCTGCAGAATAAACAAAAATTTTACATTAAGCATATTAACGTTAACATCAAATTCAAATTTAATTAATTAAAAATAATTACCATAATGTTAACATTGTATATATTGTATATTTTTAATTATCATTATCATTATTTTAAAAAAAAAACATAATAAAATATGATCTATTTTCCTAAAATTTTTCCAAATATTATTTTTATCATCACCATTATTTAAAATTTGTAAATATAATAATAATATAATAATAAAATAATAAAAATATAACCTATTTTCTTAAATCCCTGAAATTATCCTAAATATTCATCATCATTATATCACTATTTATTCAAAAAATATAAATATATATATTAGGCAATCAACTTTCTAGTTCTTTATTTATTAATAATGCTATAAAAGAACTGATATTTTCACATTATTCAACTTTAAGTAAAGAATCGATTCAAGAGAAACAAATTCATTAAGTTGCTTTAATGATTCAACATCAATTCCATTTCCTTGGTTAAGAGAAGAAACCGAGTCTCACAACTACATCTTATATAAAATCTTATCTGCAAAATAATTTTCCGATTACAAATTTAGCATAAGTTATATAAAACATTGCAAAATATTAACTCATTAATATTAATATCATTTTCTTTTTATATTATTGGAGTCAAAAAATATGCACCTGATATCATGTGACTAAAAAAATGATCATATAAAAAACGATATAAAAAATTACTTAACGAAATTTACAATTATGAGGGTTATAATGCGTCATTAGTTAAAAAGTGAGGTTGCACAAATTGCACAAATTACACCGAATTTTTGTATTAAACTTTACCGTCATCGTTATCAAATTTTTTTTTTTGTTTGGGTAACACGCAAGTTCGTTGAAAAAATATAATTGGCTGATCAAATGTAACTTATTTAGGCAGCTTAGAAATTATGTTTGAATAGTGCTCCTCGTATTGTTCTACAGGATTATCTAAAATGAGGCTATAACAATGCTAAATCTTTGAATTTTTTTTTTGTTTCTTGTGTGAATGTTTCGATTGTAACTAAATCGGTCCAACAATATGTATAAATCAGTCGACAATAACAAAATATTTATTTAGTATTTAAAAGACTTATATTATAAGCCCTTGCTTCACCCTCACTCATCTTTGATAATTTTGAGTGGTGAATTTTGCTGTTATTTCAAAGTTGAGAACCGCAAATCCATCGAGTCGATTTACGTCATAAATTATACATCGAACATGAATGAAAAAACTAGTATCATCCTTTTTGGACCAACTGGGCAAGGAAAATCCTCAATTGCTAACATGTTGATACAAGGTGACATTAGTCACAAAGAAAATAAATTCGTAGTTAATGATGGTGTTGTTGGTGCGAGTGTTTCGATACAATGCAATGATACTATGGATAACGTGAGTTCTTATATAGAGCGTAAAACTAATGATGAATTTATGATTTACGATACGATAAGAGTAGGTGAAGCTTGTTCTGGTAAGGTTTCGCAAAAGAAGACTGTCAAAGAGATAAGAGATTATTTTATTACTCGTCAGTTTCCGCTCAACTATATAGCTTTCGTTAAAAAGAAAGGCAGAATTACCGAAGAAGATCTTAAAATGTTCAACTTATTTAAAGAGATCTTTGCGGGAAACGAGAAAAATTTCATTATCATTATCACTCATAGTAGTCAGAAATGGGTCGAACAAAACTCAGAATCATTAAAGAAGAATTTTAGAGAAGATTATCCGATTATTCCGGTCGATTTTCCTTGTAGTGAAGATGATGATGATGCTGTCATTCAACGAAACAAAAGAGTACAAAGTCAGAGCCTGCAACATTTAACATATAAGCTTTCTGAATTAAAATACAAGAGTATTATTCTTCAGGTTCGTAGCCCGATCCAGTCGACCGAGGACGACATAGCTCAAGTCATTTACTTCATACCAGTAGCTGGATCGGCATACCAACTGATTTCTTCTGGTGTTTATTATGGGGTAGGAGAGACAGATTTGGCAAAAAAACGATTTAAAAATGGAGTTTTCAGGGCTGGTCTCGACTTTGTGATGGTTAGTGTTATTGGAAAAGTAATATTTTCAAAAGGATTCGTACATTTATGGTAGCTGCACTAAAAAAATTAAGAAATCCACGTTTCTTTAAAAGTTCTATTTATACTGTTGTATTCAGCTATATGATAAATAAATTTTTGCACTACCCTAAAATACACATAATGATATATATAAAAGCTTATAAATTATTGACTACAGCTAAATGGATTTGTTAAAATTAAATTTTTTTTTATCTTAAATTTAACACCATAGTAATATCTATGTAAAAATTTATCATTGGTTTTATCGGCATCATTGACTGATCAAATGTAACGTTCATAGGCAGATTAGAAATTTGTTGAATAGACCTCCCGCGTATTGTTCTTCGGATTATCTAAAATGAGGCTTAATAAAGGATTCTTCCAGCTTTATGGAGTACAATCCTAAATCTTACAAAAGTGTGTTCTATTATGTTTTATTTTTTTGTTTCTCGTGTGAATCGGTCTAGCAATACGTATATATCGGTCAAACAATGACAAAATGTTAAAAGTATTTAAAGACTTTGTTTTCTTAAGCTTTTGTATCCCACACTCTAAAGTAGTGGTTTTTACAAAGAAACCGATTTATATCGCTCTAAAGATATTTGTTTATTTACGACATAATTTAAATATCGAATATGAGTGAAAAAACTAGTATAATCCTTTTTGGACTCACTGGGCATGGAAAGTCCTCTATTGCAAACATGCTGATTCAAGGTGATATTTACCATAATAGAGACAATTCGTTTAAAATTAATGACAAGGTGGGTGGTGCGAGTGTTCAAATACAAGGTTGCACCAATGACAAATTCATTGTATACGATACGATTGGAGTAGCTGTAACAAGTGTTGGAAATGTTCCGCATAAAAAGGCAGTTAAAACAATAAGAAATTATTTTTCTATATGTGAGGCGCCACTCAACTATATAGCTTTCGTAGTGAAGAAAGGCAGAATTTCTGAAGAAGTGATGCAAGTGTTCAAAATATTTAAAGAGATCTTTAAGGATAGTGAGAAAAGTTTCATCATCATTATTACTTGTAGTCGACCGAAATGGATCGATGAAAACATAGGAGATTTAAGGAAGTATTTTGAAAATTATCCAATTATTCCGGTCGATTTTCCCTTTGAAGAAGAAGATGATGATGATGGTATTGCTGCCATTCATCAAAATAGAAGAAGAGAAAGCATTCAACGTTTAACTGATAGGCTTTCGTTTTTAAATTATAAGGGAAGTAAACTTCAGGCCCTTAGTTCATTCCAGTTTGTGGAAACAAAGTTGCAAAAGTTGTTTATTTTGTACCAATCGCTGGCGAGACATACCAGCTGATTTCTTCTGCTGTTTACTATAGTCTTGGAAAGGAAAATTTGGCAGATGAACAATTGATAAAGGGAATATCCGGAGCTATTGCTAGTATTATTCTGTTATAGTTACAATATGTAATATGTATATTCAGCTACTTGACTAAATAAAATTTTTTAAGCTTTACATGTATTGTACCTGTTGTTAAATATTCCACGTCCGCGTCATAATAAAAGAAGAAATGTAAACATATATATTTAACAATTTTACTTTGTACAATTTTGTTGTCATCGTTCACCTAAACATGTGCAGTCTTTGTACAGACAATTATTCTTTCTCAGCACTCCTTCAAAACTTTTCAAAATAATACAAATATACAAGATTTTGATAATTGGAGCCGAATATATTTCCTCTTTTTTGATTTTATTATTTAATTTTTTCTTCCTTAGGCTTTTGGATCTTTTCAGGAAGTGCATTTTTGATATTTTCAATAATCTAACATACAAAGAAATATGCTATGACAGTGGGTCTTTGAGCAATTTAATTTCTAATTTAGAAAAATTAATTCAAATAAAGTGACAATTAGCACACAAGCACAATCCATCAATAATTTGTTGAATACTGTTGCCGAAATACATTTCGTGATAATCTTGATTATAAAATTTTCAAATTTGTATCCGAATGGGCTCAACAAATACAACTTTAATTCCGACCAAGGTTAGTCCAGATAATATTTATAAAAGTCAATTGTCATTTCAAAATGTTAACTTTATTTAAAATATAGTTTAATACTATGTCAAGTAAATTCATTATTACGAATATTCAACAATTAGTACATAGGGAATATTGTCCGAATTTCGATTCTGATTTATAAAGTGTTTTATCTAATTGATTATTTGAGCATATTATTGTATTCGGTTCTTACGTTTATGTATTTATAACAAATTTGTTGAATAAAATGAAGCAATCACGACAATATATTTATTTAATAATACCAATTAATCAGTGTTGCCTCAACGTCGGCGCTCTACACTTTTCCGCAATGTCAATATATAAATAAATGTTAAATCACTAAAAATTACTAAAATTGAACAAATACAAAATATAAAAATAAAGTAATAAGAAAATCGGATTTTAAAAATAACGAAGTTACAAATTTTCGCTCGAGTTGTTTTAGGATTTCCAATTAATACATATAAAAAAATTAATTAGGCATTGTACCAACCTGTAAAAATGATCTACAAAGGACTAACTGCAATTCAAATCTATAAGTGAAATTATGATGTTTTCGGGCGGAATTGTTCTCGGGATAGGCAATTTGAAAGTCAGGTTCTTTTATTTGTATGATGTTGAGAGTAGCCATATCGGTCTAACAGTATGCATAAATCGGTCTACAATATAGTAATTTCTTGTTATAATTTACGGTATTCAAGTAGAAAGCCTCTTATCACTTCGTAAACAACGTGGCTCACAACAAGCTTCCTAATCAGTCGCTTTGTAAAAATAAATAAATTATTTTTATCAGTCCAATTGATTGATCACAAAATTCCAGTTTTATGGACGTACAATGCGTAAATCTTACAAAAGAATGTGTTCTTTATATTTCTCGTGAGAATGTTACGAGTGTAACTATATCGTTCTAACAATATGTACATATCGGTACACAAAGTATTTAAAAGACTGTTTTCTAAATCTCTGTATTCCCTCACTCGTCTTCGAGTAACATAAAGTGGTGAAATCTGGCGCTTTATTCCGTTATTTCAAAAAAAATAGAAAAGTTGAGAACCGCTCTAAATCCGTTTAGGAGACGTTTTTTAGCCGAGATTTATACCATTCTGAAGACTTTCTTGATTTTGCGACATAGTTTATATTTTGAATATGAGTGAAAAAACTAGTATCGTCCTTTTTGGACTAACTGGGCAGGGAAAGTCCTCTATTGCAAACATGCTGATTCAAGGTGATATTTACCATAATAAAGACAATTCGTTTAAAATTAATAACAAGGTGGAAGGTGCGAGTTTTCAGATACAATGTTGTATGAATAACGAATTTATAGTATACGATACGGTTGGAATATGTGAACCAGATACTGGAAGTGTTCCGCATACGGAGGCTGTCGAAAAATTAAGAAATTATTTTTCTACATGTGAGGTGCCACTCAACTATATAGCTTTCGTTAAAAAGAAAGATAGATGGACCGAACAAGATTGTAGTAACTTCAAAATATTTAAAGAGATCTTTAAGGAAAGTGAGAAAATTATCATCATCATTATCACTGAATGTAAACAGAAATGGGTTGATGAAAACATAAATACATTAAGGAAGAATGTTGGAACTTATCCGATTATTCCGGTCGATTTTCCTTTTGAAGATGCTGAAGATGAAGATGATGTTGTATTTCAAGAAAGAAAAAGAAAACAAAGTATTCAAATTTTGACTGAAAGTCTTTCGCGTTTAAATTACAAACCTATGAAACTACAAGTACTTAGCTCGAACATGACTTTCGAGACTAAAGTAGATAAGATCCTTGAAATCGTACCAGTAGCTGGATCGACGTACAATCTGATTTCTTCTGGTGTTTACTATAAACTCGGAAAGCAAAACTTGGCAGAAGAACGGTTTATAAATGGAGTTGAAGGGGCTGTTTTGGATGCTATGAGTTTTGGTATTGGTACAGTAGCTTCAAGTTCCGGTAAGGTTGTAACTGCAAATGCCGGTAATGTTGCTACTAATATTGCTGGAGAAAATGTCGGTAATTTAGGTAATTTAGTTAATCGAATTGGTGTTGTACCCGATACAGTAGCAGCAGCTACTAAAGGTATGAAAACAAATATTTTATCAAAAGTTGGAAGTTCGCTTTCAAAAACCATTTTATGAAGTATTTGTTATCAATTTAGCAAAACATATTTTTTTTTAAAAAAAAAACAGTTGACGCGATTTTGATTAATAAAGCATTTATTCGAAACGATGGCTTATTTTTACATTTCGCTGCCAAACCTTTGCAATTAATAAAGAACATATATTTTCTGATACATAAATTATTTAATTTATGAGTTGTTTTCCTCAACGCATTCATCACCTTTACAAATTGCAAAGTTTTGCTTTGATTTCAGAATTCCTAAAATGCCGATCAATTTGCAGTTCGAACAAGTGATACAAAAATTTTACAACCGGAATTAACGCTATTGCATTGCTATAATATCATTCCATTTTTGTATGTTGGATTATATTTGACAAAATGAACCAAAAATAAAAATTTTAAAAAAAAAATCAAAAATGTCTAATGCTTCTGAAGTGATCAAAATCCTTGGAAAAAAAAAAATAATTAAATCAAAAGGGCAATTGTCCAAATCTATCAATGAAATTAAAAAAAAAAAATTATCGTTATAAGTTAGAGAGATAATAAAAGAAAATACATACTGCGTTTACTTCTGAAGAAAGACAACTCGAAATATGAATCTGCAAAAAAAACCAAATAATTGCAGCACGCAGCGCTTAAAAAAAAAAAATAATGATAATAATTTGATTAAAGAAAAATTTTACCTATGCAATCTGAAGAACCATCTCGAAAGAAATCTTGTAAAAATATTAAAACTAGAGAAAAATAAAGGCCTTACCATGGTATAATTGGGTTCGTTTTCTTACATTACAGAAATTGAATTTTTTTTTTTTATTTTTTTCTTTTCTTTAACGTATTAAATCAATATGTAGGTATGATTTTTTTTCTTGCATTCCTTTTTTACTTTAATTTATTAATTATTTTTCTAAATTTTATTTTTTTTTTTTTTTTAGGTTATTTAGTGACAGAGGTCGGTACCGTAAGGTTTCTATTATTATTATTTTATTAACTAGGGTTTTTCTCTTTATTTTGGATTTTTTTTTTTAGGTGATTTCTTATAAATTTTTTAATATTACTAAAATTGATAAAAAGGCATGATTTGATTTTTACAAATAGATGACAATTCACTTTTGTGATGACATGAAGAAATTTTAGTGTACATTATAAGTTTTCAATCCTTATCTCGATCCTTTAATATTACTTTTATTACGGCTAAATACATCGTCAAATAATACGATAATGAATAATGGGATAAGCCAATTAAATTATAAAAATATTATAAAGGATATAAACTTGAGAAGAAATATATAATAATTTAATGTGGTATCAAAAAAAAAGAGGTGATCTCCCAAAAACATCTTTTTCGATCACATTTTGTGAAAATGCTGTAAATGAGGCGCGCTAAAGTCCGGATAAAATATTTATCTAGTACAAAATCGGACACAACATAATAATTTCGGTTGGAATCGAAAGATCGTGTTCAAAGAAATCAGGTTTATAATTTTGGTCTTTATTAAAACTCATTTGATATTTCTAGTCCTAATTAACAAAAAATACCATCACATCAAATAAATTATAAAATTGTAAGTCACATAAAAAATACTAACTTCTGGTTGATTAAATTTCTAAAACCTAATTCGTGGCAATCTTTAACCAAGTAACGAATAGATTAGTGTGTTGCTGTACTCTTTATTCACAGAGTATATAATCATACGATTAAATCAAAAAAGAAGAAAAAAAAGAAAATTACAATTAAAATTAAAATTAAATCGATAATTATTGTTAACGATTGTACCTCCGTCGGTTTGTCAGAAGCGCCTTAGATTTTGATCTTGTGAAGTAACATCATCTAAGAAGGAAAAATTTATTAAGAGCTTGAAGGTTGATTTTAATATAGGTGCGTAAATTACCTACAAAAAGACACCAAAATTCTTTATTAGTTTTTGGTAATGAGCTAAAGTATTTTCAAATAGGTATCGGAATAAGCATAACTAGTATAAATGTAATGTTAAAAAATCTCATAACAACATTCAAATGAAGCAATTATTCAGATAAAAAAAAAAATATTAATTACTCTTATACTTTATGCTGTAACCGTAACCGTGTTAGCTCTTCAATAGGTAAATATAGAATAATTTCATCGTCTAAGGCTGAACTTTCAAAACTTACATTTATTTACGTTAAAATATGTTGCGATAAGTGCACGAAAAGTCCATTCCTTCTATTCATACTTCCAATAAGTGTACTTATAATAAGTATGGTCTTTTCACCAGATACTACTATTGTTTAGTTGGTGGTGACAGTTATTTCAAGGAGACGCGGCATGTTGGACCTTGTTTTTATAGACGCCTCTAAAATTCCAAAATTCCAATATTGCAAAGTTTATAGAAAATGTTTTTTGTAAAAAAAAGGGGGGAATTGAATAAAAAAAAAAATGTGAAATTGTGTACAGTAGCAGCTGAACCCGCAACATGCCGTTTTTTCGCACCATGCCACGCGTTGTTACTACTATACCAATTCATCACTGATGTTAATTTACATAAAAAATTAAATAATATAAACTAGATTGCATAAAACATGTGATGTGATTAATCGTCATATTTTTTTTCTATTGTATTTTACTATATACAGTATCACAGTCGAATTTGCCCATTATAATAAAACGTTTAAAAGATTTTAAGCTTCTTTTTTCCCACTACAAACGACACAAGGCTAATAAAAAATGTTTAGTGACGGACCTTATTAACGCTTATTTTATTAGACGCCAACAGTAAGGAAGGACAAAAAAAGCATATTTGATTGTTTCGTAATTTGATTTTCTATCTTTTTTATTTCTTTCTTTATTTTCTTACAGCACAAATCAGGTAACAAGGGGAAACGTGCGGTTGGAGATTGACGTGAAGTACTTGATTTAATTGCAGTTAACAGTATTGGGATTTAAGACGATAATGCCACCCAAGCATATCGTCAAACGGAGAATTGGTTACCCTTACCATGGCAGATGTAATTGAGAATATGGTACTGAGAACTTATCGATTATTTGTGAAGGAGGGACATTAAAATCAAGAGCGGCATTTTGATATATTGTGAGAATAAGAAATTACTGGTATTTCATTTGTCAAATTAACCGAAAAAGATTTTCAAGATTGGGAATCCTTTAGGGCCAGCAAAAATTCTCGCAGAATTTATCGAGGATATTAAAAAGCAAAACTTGAGAGGCATGCTTGTTTTTTTCATTAGTGTCTGCTTTTTCTAGTGTAGGAATGCCCTTACAGATTACTCGCAGAAAATAAGATGTAATACACTCACTGAGCTTTCACATTTAGTACGAACCTTTTATTTATTCTTTAGCATCGATGCCTATTAATATTCCCGTGATTTCGTCTCTAAGTATTGTATCAAATTTCTACCTCAAGTATTAAGGTACTATATGAAATTTTCTTTCACTCCAGTTTTTGAGAGAAATTTCCAAGTAATATTTGCTAGGCAATTTCGACGGGCGTCGAAATCAGAGCCTGTCAAAACCTGTCGAAACCTATCGAGAATCAACAAAACCGAAAGTTTTAGACTTTTGCTAGTATGAGATTAGATTTTGCCTTACAACCTTAGTTTCAAGTGTTCATATTCCATTGCATCATGGGACTTTTCCAATATTCTACATTTCGAAGATTACGTGATAAGGAGAGGATTGGCGAGAAAGGATATAGATGAGAAAACAAAAATATGACATCAAATGTGAAGTCTACAGTTATGGTATTTTTCTTTTGGAAATTGCGGTATGTAAGATACCATACGATGCATTTGATGACTTTATATAAATTTCAAAAATATACTAGATGGGTATCGGAAACCTTTTACTAACCCTGGTATTCCAGATAAATATCAAAATCTCGTTCATGATGCTGTCGATCTGAATCCAGGTCTTCAACCCATGTTCTCAAAAAGGTTGATAGATCTTCAGCATGTCTATAAGAATGTACGAAAAATGTCTGGTACAGAAATGATTGATTGAAGTTCATTCAATTATTTGTCAATTGACAAGGCGGTTGAGAAGCATCTAAAGAACAATATGAAAAGCAGACATTGTACAAATATTTCGATGCTTATGACAACTTGGTTAATCCAAAAGCAAAGCTTGTTACATTTCAAAAGGTTGGTCTGACTTTACCTATTCCCAAAAAGAAAAAGATGCGATAGCCATTTAACATTTTAAGGAAGCCACAAATTATGATGAGGATTTTCCTGATGCACAACTTCATTATGCAGGATATTAAAAGAACATTAAAGAGACAGAAAAATATCTTCTCAAAGCGGCGAAAAATGATAATGTTGTGGCTGTGTTTAGTGTTTCTACTTATTATTTCTCTCAAAATCAAAAAGAGTTGGGTAATTATTATTTGATAAAGGCTACTAATAGAAAACATGAAGGGGCAATTCAATTTTGTAAACGAATAATATCAACTATTAACTCATTAGATTGGATTCATTCGTTATCAAATTTTTCCAAATATTTATTTATTTATTTATTATTTATTGTACAGTTTAAGATTTTCCTAAAAATTTTTTTAATAATAAATTGATGTACTTTTATTACAATCTCTTATAATCTCTTATCTCGCTCTTTATAAATATATGACGAATATCATTTTACAGTGACAATTTATATTGATTCAGTTATTATAAACCCATCGATTATTTTATTAAAAATGATGTGTTAAATTCGTAATTTTATTAATTGATTCGCCCACAACATGATTATATGTAGAACATTTAGCAAATTTTGCAGCAATTAATTCTGAATTTAATAATGATCTACAATTACAGCCAGCATTAATGAAAGTTCTGGCTGGCATCTATAGAAAATAAAAAAAAAAAATTAATAAGCTACATAATTTTCCTTCGCAAATGTCGAGATCGTACGTGAGGAATAATGTTATATTTAAATCTCGATTAAGTATGGCAAAGCTGCAATCTTTAACTTTCACGTATCATATTTCGAAACTTTTATAGTGTTTTTGCAAACTTCAATAATTTTAAGTTATAATATAATTCATTTTTTAACATTGGAAGTTGATGATCAATTTATCACATTATAATCAATCTAATATTCGTCAACTTTCTTAGCATAACTACCAAAAATTATTAGCACGTGATCAATTTTATTGATCATACCTAAAAATAGTTAGATTAATTTTTAACGAAACTTAACACAAACTTTTTTCAGCACTTAAAATTATACTACTTATAAGTATTATTACATACTCTACAATTTTGCTTAGAGATAAAAAAGAGATTTCAAACGCATTTTTTGACTTTTATATTATATTTTATAAAAGATAATTCCACTGAAAAACAGTATTCATAATCACTATTTTCTTATTAAGTAAACTTGTAAAGAAGGCAAAATTACGTATAGGATTTAATTTTTAGGTTTTATTTAAAAAAATAGAATAAAGAAAAATTTTCGTTAAGCTTGATAGTCTATTTTTAGAAATGATCAGCAGAAATTGATCACGTGTTGGTAATTTTTTAGTGGTTATGCTAAGGAAATCATATTCGTTAGAAATGTCACATGAGTTGACGATCATTAATATCTTCCCCAGTATCACCAATAAAAAATCACTTTCATGTGATCATATAAAAAATATTTGTTGCATCATACCCTCCACTTTTCATTTTTTACTAAATATTCTAAGGGCTTAGAATTTTTTCAGTGTGTAAAATCATATTCGTCATATCACTATTCATCACATACATAATGCCTTAACTCATAGTTAATACTATAACTCTGACCAAAAAGTCACGTGAAAGTGATTTTTTGTTAGTGATTATGGGGTAGTTATCATTAATAAATAAAGTTTATGTAACATATCATGCTAGTCAATCTTTAAGTAAATTAAGCTATACATTTAAATAATAAAAAAGAAATTTACCTTTATTCTTCTTTATATGCTTTTCAACACATTTTTATAATTTTTTTGATTATTTTAATATTTAAATTAAAAAATATTATTATTTAAACTTTACACTCTTTTTTCTCTACATGTTGATGATTGAACTTTTAAATATACTTAAAAGCTTATAAATATCACACAAATATATGTATTTCATAGCTAATTTTCATTTTATATAAAAAAATTTGACATTTTAACTGCCAATTTTATAAAAATTGCAAAATTTCATTTTTGTATATATGATAACAAGGTAAAGCATAAATTAAATCAAGAATAACTTGTTTATTTAAATTTGTAAATATTATACAATAATTATGAATCTATTTGATTTAATTAATACAATAGTTTCATTAATTATATACCCTTTTTTTATTCTATTCAGCTCTAAGTAATTAAAGCATTTCATCATATATATGGCTTGGAATCTTATCATAAGCTAACAGATGTTCTAGTATTTACTTTTTATGCATAAGTAATTTTCTTCATCTTTAAAAGTCTAATTGTTATAATCATCAATATGTAGCTAAAATAGCAGATGTATAAGAGAATTAGGTATGATTTAAGTTCACATACTCAAATTAATTATTATTTTATCATGCCTTTATATCTCCCTTTCAATTCTCTTTACTTCCTTTATATTTTTCTTATTTTAGCATAGTTTTTGTATTTTATTTGATAAACTTCTAATACGTATTTTTTCTGTTTATTTTAAGGTTCACTTTTTATCACATCTTATTTGTAAATTATTTGTATTTGATTCAAGCCATTTTTATAACATGTAAGTAATTTTTTGTATTTTTATTTATATATTTCAGGTGGCTTAAGATCTTTAAAAATCTGATGTAATAATAGATCTGTTATATTAAAAATTATAATTAAATCTTCTATTAGTTTCTATAAAATTTTTCTTCTGAAATTGACAGCTTGTTTACTTTGAGAAATTGAAGTATTCTTAAGGTATTCATTTAGAAGTAAATTAACTCTTTTTTTTTTGATTGAGTTACTTTAATATTTGCTTTTAATTTCTTTTTATCAATAATATTTTTGCTAATATTTTGTTTTATAAAATGAACTTCAAAAATCTTAAATACTTATTAAACTAAAATAAACAGGTTTTTGATTTTTATTTTCATTATTATTGATATTCTTTGATATTTTAAATACTCTAATATATTATAAAATTTTATTCAATTTGGACATTTAGTTAAAGTAAAAAGATGTTGAATAATAGTTACTACATAATTTGATTTATCTGCACTTAAAAGAAGAGATAATACTGCAATAAGAGCATCTTATTATAAATTATGATTTTTAATTCTCATTTCTATATAGTATGCTTTTCATATTCTAGCATATTAATAATAAAATAAATTTTTAGCAAATTAATTGATGTCAGTATTTTTTTTCATTATTTTGAACAAATTAAGATTTTTTTTTTGTAAATATATTAATTGAGATCCTAACTGTTATTCACAAAAGATCTAAGACTTTAGATATTATTTAATAGTCAACAGCTACTTTAAACTTATCTAAAAATTAAACATCTGGTTTTTTTTAAATTTAAAAACTCATAATTAAAGAATAATACAATTAGAACTAAGCAGAAATTTTTAAAG